TCCCCTAATCATCTTTGTTGCTCTTCTCTGGACTCTTTCTAGAGTCTCCACATCTTTTTTTACATCGTGGCCACCAAAACTGAATGCCGTATTCCAAGCGTGGCCTTACCAAGGCCTTATAAAGTGGTATTAACACAATTAACACAATTGGGGTCCTACTTTGCGGATTACTTATATATTTCCATCCCAAACGTTGTGCATTCTTTGATTCCCACATTAAGGGAATCAAAGCAGCCGAGAGAAAGCCGCCGTCTGTCTATGGCAGGAATATTCTTAAATCAGAATTTTCTGGATTTCCCCCCCCCCCCCTCCTCTCCTCTCAGCCCGCTTCGCTCTGGAGAGCATTCAGTACTTACATATATTCAAGCCTGTTGCAGAACGAGTTAGCGGGGAGGACATCAAATTTGGTCACGAATCTCGGCGGTATTGCTTTGGAAGATAAGGATTGGCATCGACAGCTGCTCCTCTGACCAGTCACTATGCCTAGACACAAAAGGGCAAAAAAAGGGCAAGAGAATGGTGATTGCAAATCCCAGCGGACGTTTTGAAACGCATCTACGGATCGTCCTCGACCACAATTGAGCCCCTGATTTTGGGGGCAAAGCGTTAGACATTCATTAAGTGAGGTTTTGCCCCATTTTACAACCTTCCTTCCTTGCTTATTTATTTATTTTTTTGCCTTTGTTAAATGAGTCACCAGCCTTGTTCGATTAGTAATACAGTCGTTCAACGAATCTGGCTTCCCTGTCGACTTTGCTTGTGACAAGATTGCAAACGGGGATGACGTAACTCCGGGACACGGCAAACCGTGTCACAAATATGAGTCAGTGACCAAGAATGGAGAGTCCCATTTGAATTGGCTTTGGGATTGTGTGGCGAAGAAGCCACTTATGGATTGGAAAGCAGCACAAATCGCTTTTGCACAGTTGCAAAATGGCCAGGGCAGTCTTAACAGCATTATGGGCCCCGGGCAGAGCAGATTAATGGGGGCCCCTACAATAATGACTCACAGGAATAAAAATGTAAATGGTTGATAAAATTAAGCATATATTTATCAAGCTGTCAATTGTTTAACCACGCTGTCAAACAATTTACTAAGACTGTATGACTATTATTGTTCTCTTCCTTCCTAGTGTCCATCTCTTCCCACTTATTACTATAACCACGTTGCTTGTATATTTAAATTGATATTGCTTTTATTTGCTTCCTAATACGATTTCATAGTTTATTAGTAACCTTTACTATCGCTAAGTGTTGTATCTTTTTATTATTGATGAATGTATTTTATTCTCCTTATGTACACTGAAAGCATATGCACCAAAGACATAATTCCTTGTGCATCCAATCACACTTG